CTTCCAAATCCCTGGCCATCTACACTGCGTGGGCCCCTGATTGGTGATTCGAGCTCGTCCTCGATGCTCAACTCGTCCGGTACGAACGGAGTGGAGGACGTTTCCGATTCCGGCTGGGGTGTGTCTTCCATTCCGGATATACATGAGCTATGGCAAGATGATCGTGCTCGTCCAGTAAAGTGAGTACTTTCTGGGTGGCTCTGCGCTTTTCTGTGTGGAACCCGGTCACTGACACTGAACTTCGTTAGGCTTAGGTTTCCCTAGGTTTATTTGTTGTTTTCTTGTGATATCATGTTCAGATTGAGCATTTCTGGTTCAAGTCCAGGATGAACCAGGGCGGGACGGAGTCGCATGTGAGTTGGTTTACCGAATGACTTTGCGCATTGCTGTTGAGCGAATATCGTTCATCAGCGATGAAAAATCTAGGTGAAACTACTGCGCGTTGTTATTCAAGTTGAATCAATGAACTACCGTATGAAAATCCATCGGCGTCATGTGCGATGGGTGATTTGGGAAAACGGTACATAGTGGCATTCACAGAACCACTTGGTCTTTTTCTCCTAGTTTTCTTTTCTGTCCCATACACATACAATTATACTGATGGTGTAGACCTTATCTCAACGTTTTGGTGATATTGATTACAGGTATGTGCTCCTGCAAAGTTTACCGCTGATTATAAAGTGCCGAGAGAGGTGTTTTCTAAGTGAAGGCTTTTTTGCACAGCCCGCTTTCATTCTTCACCGATGATTTTCACTAAAACGTGATTTTGGTTGCTCTATTTCTGGTAAATAGCTTTAGCTCTAGTTTAACTCGTTCTTTCCCTGTATTCGAGCTTCATTATGAAGTATTAAGTTCGAGCCAACCTCAATCTCAAAGGAATTTTCCTCTCTGGGTTGTTGCGGGTCTAGTTTGAACCAATTCACGCGCCGAATCATGTCAATAATGACACTTGAACCTGCTGACTGATTCATCGATTCATCTTGATATAACCCGTCTTCTTTCCCTACAGACCGAGGCCAGTTACCTCCGGGTCCGTTCACGCTCCTCGCTCGATTGGAGGTGTCGCTCCTGACCGCCGTCCAGCTTAGCATATGGAATACGGCTCAATTATGTTTCCATTGCTCACAACCAATAACCATGCTTTTTCATGCACCGGGTTTGGTTACTGTCTTTTGGCCGTCCATTTCGATTAGAGAACAGAATGAACTGATCGAACGCGTTGGGTGATACTGCCAGAACCACGACACCGGGGGTAATACTGACTGCATCCCCTAATTGTTTCAAGTTGATCACGCTGCACTTGTGCAGTCGAACAGTGCGCATGTATCAATGACTGGACAACCTCTCCTAACTAATAAGTCACATGCGGCATATAGTCCATACTTTGCATGTCAACTACCGACACGTTTACTGGTTGAGACTGTTTTCGCTTTCGAAAGATGATCAGCATCCGATGCTTTCCGGGTTGACAGCTTG